ACACAGGCTTTAAAATACATACAGAGAGAGACATTAACCCCAAGAAGCACCCGAGCATGTGGCTGGGTGCCATGAGAAGTATAAAGAGCACCTCCTCCATTGCCGGGCGCCCGGCCTGCACGCCTGAACACCGCCTCCTCCATTGCTGGGTGCCCAGCCCGTGCACCTAAACACCGCCTCCACTATTGCTGGGTGTCCAGCCCATGCACCTGAACACCGCCTCCTCCATTGCTGGGTGCCAAACCCGTGCACCTGAACACCGCCTCCTCTATTGCCGGGCCCGGCCCGTGCACCTGAACACCACCTCCTCCATTGCTGGGCACCCGGCCTGCGCACCTGAACACCGCCTCCTCCATTACTGGGTGCCCAGCCCGTGCACCTGAACACCACATCTCTGCCTCCTCCTGCAGTCCCACACAACTGGGCTAACCCCCATCACTTTCAGATGACTTGTACTGCTCATTTCCTCACTGATTCAGAGCATCACTTTAGCATCCAAACCATTCAGAGAGGACAAGGACACACTGTTGCACACAGAGTTTTAGAGAAAAGGTATTAACTAAACAGTGCTCTTCCTAAATACTGGGCAGAGGCAAATAAAGAGACATGTCAGGTTACTTTTGCATGTACAGACATATTAGGCCAGACGTGACCAACTCCTGTTCATGGCAGCCACAGGATAGCATTTCAGCGCCAAGAACTTTACCTGAAGCGGTTATCTGGAAAATGAGCCACCTGCTGTCAATCCAACGGAATCCTTTAAAAGCCTCTGGACTGTGGCCATCACAACCAGCCGCCTACGTCTGCAAACACATTCCCTTACCGATCTGCTTTTCGATGTCGGCTGCCTCATCTGGCGTCGCCCTGGGCAGAATGCCAGGGTCCGTGAGGCTGGTCTGCAGGAGGGAGACCACCACAAAGATGAAGAGCACTCCCCCAACCATCGGAATGAAGCTGGTCAGGTGCTCCACCAGGAAGGGACAGCTGGAATGAGGAAGGATGCAGATGTGTCATCAACAAGGGAGGGGACTGTAGCCCATTCTATGACTGCAATGGTGTTCAGAGCCTATTAATAAACAGGTGACCCGATCAGATTTAAATACCAGTCTCTAGAGGAGACAAATCTACATAGTTAATTAAAATGGCCTCGCTGTAAGTGAATCTGTACTTTATATCGATGACGCGCCTTCGCCCGAGATCAATTAAAGTTATGATACAGAAAACCGCAAGTTGTGACGGATGCGCGTTTACTCGAATATAAAGAAGAGGCCGCTGGTGAAGATGATCAGGCCGAGGGTGAAGGGCAGGACGCCGCTTTGTCTTGCGACAATTATCCGTCCATCGCAGAAGAAGCGGTTCTTTCCCGGGAAAACTTCCCACTTCCTACGCGATCGGCGCTGGTTCCCGGCACATGGGCGCTGCTCGGACCGCGGGGGCGTGATCGCGGCCGTCCGGCTATCCATCTGCTTATTTCAACAGCTTTTAATTTTTTTCTTTGATAACTAAATTTGTCGCCCCAGACAATCGACTTTTCTTTTTAATAGTCCCACAATTACAAAAAATATATACAGCGTGTATTCCATCCAGGTCAGACATCCCCTGAAAGTGAACACAATGAATTAATATCGCTTGAGCGGCTGGGTTACCTTCGGCATACAGTCTGCTGTTTTTCTGAGCCCGTTAGACCCCCTTAAAGTACTTACCAGCGCAATCAATGACGAGTGACACAAATACAAACGAGCAGCGTTACCGACGCACTTCCTTCCAATAACAAACCGCACACGGAAATGATGCTACTCAAGCCCACCTTATCCTACGATGCATACCTATTAATACGCGATTTCTGAATGTCAGCGACGTACTGGAATATAATATGAAACCTGTGTTACAGTAGTACTAAGCGCCTTTCTCGCGGTCTAACTGGAAGATCAAGTTGCATGGAGTGCTAAATGTGACAACTCGGAACTCATTCAGTCACCCATCATAGAGAAAATTATTTAGTTGAGCGTTTCTCGTGATATTCTGATAGCGTGTCGCTGATCACGGTAATCAGGTTTGTCCATACATCGGCCGATCGTCAGATGTCCCGACACTCCTCCAAGTATCTTTGCATTAGTTTTTCTGTAGGAGCTGTGCTTAGTTGACTGAGTTTCGCATGGCAGTGAGGGTCGTTTCTGCAATCGATCACTGGGGTACAATGCTGGCGCCCACAACACTGCTAAATATGAATTCTACGTAAATAGATGTTTTTCCCGTTTCGTTATATGAGAATTGTCTTTCAGTACAACCCGCCGAAAGCAATGTCGGCACTGCGCCCCAACATACCCTGGTCTTCTGTTTCTTACCGCGCTCACGCATGAAAGATCAGTAACGCAGGACCTAATGGAGTCTAGATAATCGTGATCTGCCAGGATTAGTTCATCAGGCTAGTCAGAGTATAATCGAGTAATTAACTGAATATCTTAAATGCACATTTCCCTGAGCCTAAACATTCTCTTTATTTAACATATTTTACAAGACCGTGGTATTTGCCTCTTAAAAACAAACGTGCACATTCAAAATGCATTATTTTATTTTTCGAACGTGTATGTTATTAAACACAGGTGACTATTCTTCAGTTCTATCCATAATGTATTTCTTTTCCATTCAGTTATCTGGAAGTTCTCAGTGCGAAACATGCTATAAAATACTGTTCCTCATTCGATCCTGCTTCCTCTGAAAAGTTGTAATTTTTGACGAGTGAAAAGATATTGTTGCGTGCTATGCTTCCTTGTGTCACTCAGGTTTAACAGAACCGGCCTGTCTATCAATGGCTCAGAATGTAGAACTGTAGGACTGGTCTAATCCATTCTGTCCTCAGCATTTGGCTATAGATTTTCGTCAACATCACATCAGATGTTGTCCTCTGCCATACACCTAGGAAAGAATCTCTTAGAGTGTCTTATCCAGCCCTGGATGCCCTCTGCAGTTATGTCCATACACCCAGCCACCATTGCCTCTAGTAATGACACATGGTCATGTGGGCGGTGGTCACACACTTTCCATCTCCATGCAGAAAAAAATTCCTAAATTGGGTTGAGGAAAGGTGAGTAGGATGGCAGGAATAATGGCATCATCCTGGGGTGGTCTGTAAACCATGCAGTGACCTGTCGAGAGTGGTGAAAGGTCACACTGTCCTATACAATCGCATATGTTGGTATATTTTGCCTTTCTTGATCTCTTGGGGCAGTAAGTTTTTCCCACAGTTCATCAAGAAAAGTAACCAGGAGGGCTGTGTTTTATGGGCCAGTTACAGCCCTGTGCAGGTGCAGCCCGTCTGCAGATACTGCTGCACACATAGTGATGTTAGCGCCCCTCTGGCCTGGAGCATCAATGGTGGCTCTTCTTCCTATCACATTTCTTCCACGGCGGCGGGAGTTCAATCCCAGGTGGTGCCACCATTGTGCCCCTGAGCAAGGCGTTGACCCCAACTTGCTCCAGGGGGACTGTCCCTATAGATACAGTACTTCACTGTGAGTCGCTTTGGATAAAAGTGCCTGCTAAATGAATAAATGCAAATGTTTTACCATAATATATGTGTTGCCATACCCACTGTTTTTGCACAGATTACATTGTGTTGCCTTGCAAAAAGGAAAGGGACACTCCATGGCCTCATTCGTATAGATGGTGTAGATGGTAACGAAGCAGCAAACAAAAACAAAAATATGAAATTTCTGGTAAAAGCATAATTATTTGTGTTAGTGCAAGTGCATAGTGTCCTTTGTCAAAATGCAGCATATTTCAATTTACAGTGCTCTAAATTTCATTAGGTTTTGACCTGAAAGTTAACTGTTTTGAACAGATTATCTAAACGTCTGAAAAATCGGCTGTTGTTGTACAAAGTTTTGCTGGTGGCGAACACTGACTGAGAGAAGTATTCATGAAATGGGAGAAGTGGTGATTGAATGCATATTGCGTCAAAGCAATGCAAATGTATACATAGTTTAGCTCACATGGTCCAATGGTATGGTGCATGTGTTAAGTGTTGTGAAAAAGTGGACATGGTATTGAGACACGGTTTAAAATGATTGGGAAAAACTGTAAGCCAAATGTAAGGATTGTCCAATAGGAACAACAGGAATGTACCTTACCTGTCTTTCTATTGGTCCGTTTTCATTCCAAGGCCACTGAATGACTGGGGCCCTAAAAAATTATTGAATCGGTCTGGGTTGGGGTCCAATGATATGTTGTCATGGGACCAAGAATCTCTGGCAGTACTCTATGGTGGTTATTATCTGGAGAGTGTTATGAAATACAAACAAAGCTAACCTGCAGTAAATAAATCAGTAGCACTTTACTTCAGGGGGTGATCTCCAGATGAGGATATAGCACAGGGTCAGACTGTGTCTCTGAAGCAATCAGAGCCTATTTGAACAGTAATATGATTACTCTGCCAGCCATGGGGTTCAAACTCACAACATTCTGGACACAGATACCTAACTGACTGAAATACACTCCATAAAGGATAGATAAAACTTTTTTAATCCTTCAGTTTTAGAAGTATTATAACCTACATGACTAACTTGCATTCTTGTCCTGGTACATAATTTAGCATTAAATAATGCCATGCTTGTTAATTTCATATGGAGAATGTAAGTAAATTGTTTGAAGTTATCTCATGAGACATAAGCGTTCCTTTTTATGTTAAACATATGAACAATGAGCAACCACATGTAATGTTGTTTAAGATAAATCTGCTACTTACTTAGTAAAGTCTTACCTAATGTTTCACTGGAAAATCGTTCTTCCTGAGCACACAGCTGTCATCAGCACAAAATAATGACCTTGTGTCAAGTTCAGAGACTTTGGTAAGGAGTTCAATGTTTGTTTGACTTTTTCGTCCTCAGGCCATGTATCTAGAATCCTCAGGAATTCTGCCCTGGAGCCCATACCCTATCTGGATCTTGTTCTCTGACAGCCCTAGACGGCACATCCTGCACAGCCTCATCTGGTGGATGACATTCTGGGAAGGGTAAGCAGTGATCCATCACCTTATCTGCAAACTTTTCTGCAGTAGTTTCCAAGAAGAGCCAGAAAGAATGAGAAAGTCCAGCACATTGAGGTTGCCAATGAAAAATTGCAACAGGGCTGAACTGAGCACATCTCGAAGTCTTCCTCCCTGATATGACATGTGTCTGAGAAAATGCACTCTCAAAAACCTGCTTCTTTGGAGGTGAAGATCATTTTGGGCCTGGGATTTCACACCTCCGCTTCAACATGGGGGGGAAACTTGTCATGATGCATCATAGTCGGTCCCTGATTTATGAGTGCCCTCCAGAACATCCAGATCTTCAGTGGCATTTTAACGATTTTAGTTATTTGATCCTCCAAACATCTGCACTGTTGACAAGAAAAGTTCCCCAGCTTAATAGCAACAGTTTTGTGCATGTTTCTCAAGACCATTTTAATATCACATTTGCCTGTATCTAATTTAGAGAATTCTGGAGTTTTTAAAAATACTGTTGTTACAAAATGTATGATTTTCCTTTCACATTCACCAAGAGAGGTAGCAATATCATCACCTGAAGCCACTCAAAATTTGGCTAAGGAAGACAGTAATTTCTGCAACTCATGTCCAAGTTCTTGTGAAGAAAAGTATTTTTCAGTCTCCCTATAATACCTCTGACTTGTTGCACTATTATCTTTTTTTTACATTCAGCGGGTACGTTTTGGTAACTCCTTTGTACTCAAGTCACAATGGTGACAATTTTCCATCTTTGCATTAGGTGTGTGGCTTAGGCCAGTGTGTTGTGTGTAGCAGACATTTTTTTCAGTTCCTCCAGGATAGCTTATAAAATCTTATTTGCCAGAAAGCTCTCTGTCCCCATGGCTGCGGCCTCTCTGAGCCATGCTGTCAAGCTGTTCCTTGAACTCACTGAAAATGCCATGGACAATAACTATTTCTTGAGGAATGATTTTCACCCCAGGCATCATAGCAAGGTGAGGACTTGCTTCTGACATCTGAGGCATGTAATTCTTTTGGCCATTTGAAGTCAACTCTACAAGATTCTGAGACTGAATGGCAAGTTCCAGCTATGTTATTGTTCAGGATGGTCCATCCGTGGACAGAAATGCAGCCCTGTTCTCCTCCATCTCCATCCAAAACCCCTAAATGATCATAGAGATTATTTCAGTTTCAGAGAGGCTCACTTCTCCCAGCCACAATTCTTCTGTCAGATCAGAGAAGCAAGAGCGCTGAGTGAATGGTGAGTCCACCTCAAAGCTTAAATCTTGAACTGCTGTCTTATCCAGCCCTTTGGTCATAGTGTACCTCTCCGCTGGATACACAGCAGAGTGTCTCACTCGAAGAGCAGGAATTTGAGGAAAGTGGTTTAGTCTAGATGGTGCATTCACCTGGTCAGCAGTAGACCTTACTTCCTCCAGCATGTTTTCCAAGTGTTCATTTGATAATAGATTCGCTTTGGACAAGCTTATAAGCTGGGGCAATTCTAGGATTTGACCTCCCAGTCCCAGAGCAACACAAGCACACCAGTGCACAAGTATAAATGGCTGCAACGACGTAGACCACTTGTGTAGGTCATGGTGTAGGTTCAACGCAGAAGTATAATTCATGCTTAAGGAACTGAGCAGTGTCTGTGCTCTTATCTTGTTGGTTGGGTCATTAAACTGCTGAGGGAGTTGCTAAGCTTTACTAGTTAGCTTGTACTACAATGAGATTGATTCCAAACTCAGTGAACTTCCACAAGTCCTGGATCTTGTGATGACCTTGGACATGGTTCTTACAGAAGGTCCTGGGCGGTTGCATAGCCAATGAATTAGCAGTTACATCTGTGATAGACTGCAGCCTCTTCCAAATGCCCCCTGGCATGGAGACGATCCATCATTTATCGATGATGATGATAATGGAGACTCTATCCACCCCAAGACTCAACCACAGGGCATTCCCAGCCTGAGGCCACCGTATTGTCATTCGCTCATTCCATTATACCGCATTATACGGTATTTAAACAGTATTTTAAAAAGCCACATAATTGCAGTATTTCCCGCTAAAATTTGCAGAGCAGGAGAGGGGTTCCTGTAATACTGGCCAAGCCCAGCCAGCACCGGCCACACTCCGACTGTCCCTCATCTGCCTCCCTGAGATCAAAATGCCAGGGGCCTCATGTATAAATGGTGCGTACGCACAAAAATGTTGCGTACGTCCATTTCCACGCTCACGTCGAGATGTATAAAAACGAAACTTGCCGTACCGCTACGCACATTCTCACTGCAGCTCCAGACATGGCGTATGCATGTTTCTGCTTGGTTTTATAAACGGACGGCACTTAGTGGCAAGTCATTGCTACCGTGGTTTCCCTTTTTAAACTCACAATCATGACGCT